TGACATACCAAGCACAATCAATATTTCTATAACATAAGGAAAGCATTGAACATTGAACTGAACATAAACTTACCACGAGGCTGAACTTTAAATAAACTTCCTACTGCAGCTTTCTGTGTCTCTATGTGCTACCAACTGAAAACTATATAATCCTTACTTATTAACTTCTACAGAGAAAATCACATTTCACAAGAAAAAGCCTGATGCAAAGCTCCGAAGCTCTGAACAATTAATGCACTGTAATTAGTCCTATAAAACTTGATCAAACAGAACCCTTGATTCAGTATTAAGAATTAATTCATGAATCATAAGGCCAACATACCTGCAGTCAGATAAAAAAACAGAAAAAAGAAATAGTCATTTACAATATATATCCAAATCTAAAATTCCTACCAACTACCAATGGAGAGAGGGCAAAATGCATATAACCATCCAAACAGTTCAGAGGAAAAGATTGTAATGGTGGTTGAACCATCAATGCAACAACACCTTCTCAAACTTTTTATGCTCAATGAGACTAAATCCCCAGTTACTTGAGGATAAACATATGAGGCTGCAATATATATATATATATATATCAGTCATCAGTCCGAACAACCTTTTTTTCATTTATGCACAACTTCTTTCAACAAACACCGCAAACAAAACTTTTTTCAAAGTCGATTCGAATTAAACATCTCTATAAAGTAGCTAAAATTTGTGCTCAGATACACTTTTCAATCTAACCAATTATCTACATAGAAATAGAAACCCGATCTCCTCGGCAACTTTAAAATAGAATATAACACACAGAGAGATATACAAGTTGCTTTCCAAAAATAGAAAAACAAACTTCATCTAAACCTCACATAGCACCTCATCTAAAACATCAATCTTACCACCAATTTATCCAAACCCTAAACCTCTCCCCCAAAAGGATTCCTCATTTATATAATCATCGATTTAGAAATTGCATAAAAAAAATCAAAAGCACCTCCCTGGAGATAATAACACAGATCAATTCCTGAATAGAAGAACACATTTTTAAAGATTAAATATATAAATATATATAAAAAGAGGATTTACAGGAGGAAACACGGAATTCGGGAACTGTAATCATCCGATCTCTAAAAGGGAAGTTGAGATTGCGTCGGAAAGGTAGAAGAAACGTGGAGAATTACGATCAACAATAATTGAATTTGAAATATAAACAAACTTAAAGACCAAACCCTTATCGATTTTTAAACTATTTTATTCAGATTTATGTGTATTTATATAGGTGAATGAATAAGGTTTAGGGGGTGTGGGTAAACAATCGGATACAACCGCCTCCCTTCTTGTTGATGGATTGCTGCTCTTACACGTGTTCTGCACGTAATTGATTTCTATCAAGCCATGGGTTCCGTAAATATGACGTGTCATCCTTCTCATCGCTAACACGCAGATTCGCGTCCCCTGGGTTTTGGATTTGTTTAAGACGGTGCGACGGGCCGTCATCGACCCAGCCCAAGTTTGCTTTAACCCGTGACAATCATTTATGGGGAGCAAGAGACAATTAGGGGGTCATTTGGGCCCAATACCATAAATGGGCTAATCATTTAGCCTAATACAACACTAGATATTTTATTATGTGACTACGCATTTGTTACAGTGATTTAGAAATTGTCACATGGACATGACTAGTTTCAATTAAAAATATTTTTTATTAGAACTTGTCAGTCCGATGTTACGAAATTGAATAAAAAATTATATTGTATCGAAACCTATCACCTCGACATGATGAATTTGAATAAAAAAGTATTATTTAGGCAAACTCGTCATGTGGACGTGACGAGTTTCCATGCACTGTAGCATTTGCCATAAATACCAAATTAATTTTGGAGATAGTCTAATGTGCTAAAGATTTTACACACCAAAGGAGTTGGTTCAAGTGGTAAGCAACATGATATCGCTTAAGTAACATCTCAGGTTTGAGTCATTGTGTTTGCAAAAAATTCTCGTTGGAAGACTAACCCATCAAAATTATATGTATGACCCGAGTCGATCCAAATTAATTAATACTAGAAATATTGGAACTGAAAGGGGGGAAAATGATTTTACTACTATGGTCTATTGGGCAATTTTACCAACAATTAGGTTATTGAATGTTATTACCAAATGTAGTAATTCAAGTCTGTCTTCTACCTAATATCGGGCAATAGGATGATTGTTGGTAACGAAGTGATCTTCGGTTCAATCGATTGATTCAGTTAATTGATCAAATTGAATTATCCAATATCATTAATTGGATTTTTTTTCTTTAACTGATTATTGAATCGATTTTTTTTTAAAATTTAACTGAACTAAGTTCGGTTTATTAATCGGTTAACTGAAATAATAAAATTTATAAATTTATATATATATATATATATATATATATATTATATTTAATATTTTTTGTTAATTCGGTTAAAATCACAATTTAAACACCTAACTAAATAATATATAAATAATATATCAAATATTTAATCATTTTAGTTAATTAAATTAATTAACCGATTTTAAACCAAATTAACCGATAATCAAAGTTTAAAAAGATCATTAACCGTTAATCGATCAAACTCAAAATTTACCGATTGATTAAATGAAAAAAATTCAATTCGATTGATTAAATTCGATTTTAACCGAATTATGAACTCCCTTGTTATCAGTTATTATCTTCATTGACTATTAGATCACTAGTGGAAGGACTATTCAAATAAATTTTCCGAGGACTGACTGATATTTCAGGAGAGTCTAACAACATGATTTAGAAGTGTTTACCTTAACAAATAATGATTTTAAAACATGTTAGTGGTGAGATTACAGAAATAAGGGTGGAGTATATAAATGGTTTCAATCATGACTATTAAAAGTTATAAATAATTTCTTAATCATATGACGTTATTTTGTTGAGTTCACATACTATTAAAAATTATAAAATAGTCACTCGACTATTGATATGTTTTAAATTCCTCTTTTTCTGTTAAAAGATTAATGATTGTCTGAGCTAGATGTTATCCTATTGATTGAAATACGATAAAATTTGATCTCAAAACTATTTAAAATTTATAGTCGTTTGAGATTCCGAAATTAGATTTTATCATATCTCAATCAGTATGTCAACGTCTACCACAAAAGATCATCAATTTTTTAACGAAAAAACGAGTTTGAAATATATAAATAGTTGAATAATCATTTTGTAGCTTTTAATAGTCGGAATACTTAACAAAGCAGTTATATATAATCATAAGACCATTTTATATTTTTTTAATAGTTAAAATACTCAATAAATCATCACACTATAATCGGGATCATTTATATATTTTACCCTAATAATTACTTAAAATTATATATGAAATTGAAATATAGATTAGAGCTTAAAGTTGAGCACAACACGGGCTAAAATCATAATTTAAACAGGTGATGTGAGGCAAACAGAAGGACCAAGACGAGTGGAAGAGCGTTGGCTTGTCCAATATCTGGACATCAGGAATGGCTAGAAAGCGACAAATTGGATGGCAGATTAGCAGTGGAGAATGAAAGCAACGCTTGCTGGCTGGCAGCCTGTAGCCGCACAAGAGCCAATTTTGCATGCAGAAAAGGGGTTCAGATCAAGTGGGACCGACTACCGAGTCGGAACTTTATAATTAAGGCACCCCAATCTTACCACATTAGCCACCGAAACCTCATCTTCCAAAGCTCATCCCCAGTACTGATGCACTCTGACTTCCATTGATGACGTAATCTTCTTTCTTTCCCATTGAATTAAAAAACATTTCTTCTCAGGTTCAGCATGCACCAACGTTTTGGAGAATAGCTCCATCGATCCACTTATCTCTTCATCTGATTTCTGCTCCAATGCCCATACATTACACTCTTCAATCTCCATTTTAATAATTATATTATGTTCAGAACTCTTCACGTTTCCTAAAACTTAGCTTCTCAATTTTGAATTTTTACTATCTGATCATCAGATGCAAATTGCAAACTTCCCCCAACAGTACTTCTTCTTCAAAGGTTTTATTTTTCCTTTTTTTTTCTTTGTCTTGTTTGTTGGTACATCCTGCAAGGAAACTGGTAGTTTGTCCACAGGTATTGAAGATGACCATCGAGAGAAAGCTGTTTCTGACGATGGGACAACAAGGTTTTCCCTTGCTCATATTGTTCGAGAAAGTTTTACAGTTCTCAAGCATTGGGAGGCCACCAAAATGCTCACAAGAGAGAAAGAAGTGCTGCACCTGCACGGAAGGCTAAAAGGGCATCGAAACATGGACCGACCGGTAACTTATTGTCTTCGTTGACGTTACCGATTGTTTATGCACCGCACCGGCTGCAGTAAGCCACCATTTGAGTTTCTTACACCCTCCGATGTATATAACAGCTCATGCTGCCAAATTCCGTTATTTCCCGAATCATCACCGTTTATCCGACAGGTTCGGGTCGAATGGTGCCGCCAGGTTCGGTAATAACGGTGCAACAATGGTTATCGCCACAATCATCATGCTGAAGAGGACGAGCAAAGTTGCTTCGATTGGAAAAGGAGCATAAGGTTCAACTTATCTCTTTGTTTATGAATCAAGAGAGAATGATGATCGATAAGCATTTTTTTTGTTGGAGCGTAATTGCTATTGTTTTTGCTTTAAATCTTCTCCTACATGCTTTAAAAAAAAAGATATGATGATGTGCAAGAATCAGTTGATACTTATTAATAAAATTTATGATAAGTTATGAATAAAACACAAAGAGGATGATGTGTTTGATGTTTTTGAACTGAATCTTACTTTCCACCCAAAATATCTCTGTATGCCTATTAGCTTTTTTTTAATAGATATTTGTTGCTGCGATTGTACGTACGTGAAAATATCAACATATGAATCACATGCAGAAAGCTTCGACAGTGTACGTAAATGAATGTACTTTCCACCTTTGTCTGTAAATTTATAAGAACATGCTCCGAAAGCCAGCAGATGAATTATGTGGAGAGAAAATGTGTACATGTCTTTTTACAGTGCATATACAATATATAGAAGTGCAATACAAAATTTCGGATGATAGAGAGCTAACTATAAATGATCTTGCAGTCTTCATTTGTACTTTTCCATTATTTTCCTTGCTTCTTCTACAGGGTCTTCCATGGAGCCACTGCCACTGCCACTGCCACTGCCACCGCCACCACCTCCTCTTGGGGCTTGATCTTTGTTCAAGGCAATAAAAACGAAATAAACAAGTCCCATCGTGGCCTGTTTATCCAGAAGAACACATTATTCGTCATGATAAAATGGTGCAGTGCCTCTAGCGGCTGCCACCACCTTGTTAACAAGAAGGTTATTTTTAGTGATAGCCACGATTTTAACAAGTTAATTGAAAAGATGAGGTTCGATATATAGACATGCAGTTAAAATCTTCCTGGAAAGGAAATGTTGCAACAATTGTAATGACCTGCCAAATTCCTTGAGTAAAAATGAATGAAAAGTCAGATTAGACATGAAATGACTTCTAGAATCACGAACAGTAACAAAGCTGGTGACCCGGAGTTATTCTAATGTCACAAATGAAAATTATACATGATTCAAACATAGACTTTATTTTTTTACACTATAAGTTGTGACCTGCAGCACTTGCAGGCATCCAAGGAAACCAATAAGTGAGGGTTGTGATTTACGTTGTTCACGTTCCTCGTGGTTTATAATGATGCTTTCCGGGTTCCTTCTCAATGGTGAATAACAATCACCCAGTCAGACAGACTGAATATCAAGTACACAGCTACCTCAAGCTGCTAAATCAATTTTTTATATTTCGCATTTCAGAAGGAAAAGATGGCATCATCTTCTGTTGACCTATAGAGAATATAGCTCGTAATTAGATTTAGATTTAAGTAGCAGCACTTGCCATTTGTGACAGTTTTGCACGGAAAACATTATTCAAAAGGGATGCCTGAAGATGTCACAAAAAAACTATGGCTTTAAGGCAGTGTGTGTGTGCGCGCGCGTGTGTTTTACATATCACATTCTCATAGGTTACACGCTATACTACTCAGATTTCAAGGGTGAGTGGAAAATACAGTTATGTATCCTATTCCTATGTGGGTATTTATATGCTGATTTTCTCTATGAGGGTTGTACCTTTGTACCCATGTCCAGACATCTCTTTGACACAAATACTAAAGGAAAATTGAAGAGTTTGAACTTTGAAAGACTAAGGTTACAAGATCATTCTAATAGAAAGACCTTCTAACAATATAAGTGCAAAATGAGAATCGCACAATATATTTGCCGGCAGTTATATATGTATAGTGGTCGACAAGGGCTTGTTCCCTCTCCTTGCATCTAAGTTTTAAGGAACAACAGGCCCATTTTGTGCCTCGTAAGCAACACACGACACAAGTGCTTGTTCCTACTGATATGTTTGTTTAACTTCTAAAACTGAACCTATGCTGCTACTTAAGCCTCTCCCGGATACGTACAGAATTCATAATCAGAAGAAATCCACAGCATTGCATGTTGCTCACCAAACAGACTACAATAAATCAGCAGCCGTAAATAATTTCTTTTCCCTTTAATATTCTGTAAGCAGTAAAGGCACACGATGGCAACTACTAACTGTGAATCTACCATGAATCATACACAGGATATACAGCAGCAAAATCACTACATAATCATATAAGCAAAGAAAGAAATACAACATACCAGCGCAAAAAAGGCTGTTGACAGGAATGACCTGAGTACAAAAAGTGCAGCAGACAAAGCAACTACTGTAACAGAGATCCTTGCGATCGGCCTCGGTACAGAGTCCTGAACTCGAAAACATAGGAACGAGCATTTTCTACTATGATGTTAATCCGAACACTATAACCACAGAAGAACACAAAAAATGAACTTACTGGCACTAGATTGGTTCCAGCTTCAATTCCATCCTTCCCAACCTTCCATACATTTTGCATAACTGATAATAAAGTTCAAACAGGCTTTCAGTACAAATTGAGAACAAGAAATTGAACCTCATACGCTTGAATCAACACGAACTCTATAGCTCATCATTACTAGTCAAAAGACCCACATTAAAACACAGTCCCAAATCAATGAACTTGTGATAGAATTTATCCAGAAAATTGACTTGCCTTAATGTTACAAATCTAAACTACAAACCCAGTTCTGAATCACATCATTTTTAAACACTCATTTACATGTCAATGCTTATTCAGAAGAATAAGAGAGAGAGAGAGTAAAAGCAAACCTTTGAAGAAGTTGGACTGAAGTGCAAAAACAAGGGGTCTTGGTGCTAAGGGCTGCTTAGATTTGATATTTGAGAAAAGTGTCTTTCTCTTTAACCTTAAAAAGGAAGTGGAAGACAAGAAACTGGAGTTAGTGAGAGCTAGGGTTTGGTTCTTGTAGAAACATTTTGGAGAGAGTGGCGATGTAGAGAACATGCTATTAATCATAGCTGGGGAAGCCATGAAACGGAGAAAAACAATTCAGTTGAAAATCTTCCAGTCGTTTGTATTGTAGAGTCGAGAATCCTGACGCTTACTCTCCACCTCACAAAAAGGGAGACATAGGCCCACATACAGATTAGCCCAGCCCAGATAATTAAGCTTAGGGTAATTTTCAAAATAATTTATGTTAAAGAAAAATTTTAATTGATTGTTAATATAATTTTAAGATTTAAATTAAGTGAAAATTTTGAGTACTAAATTAGATTTTTCATTTTAAAGGGATTTTTTACAATCAAACATATTTATAACATTATATGTATAAAATTAATTACAATAATAAGAAGAAAAAGACCCAATGAGTAGTCACCAAAGGCTCAAAAGAGATGAACAAATTACATAATCCAATAAATCCAAACTCAAAGCCCATTTTCTATTTCTTTTATCCAATTAATTAAATGGGGAAAAGAAAATCTACCAAGGAAGGTGGCTTGTTCCCAAAGCCAAGCACCAATTTGTTCAAAGCCCCCAAGGGCATTCTCCAATATCTCAGCTGAATATCGGAGACGTTGATACGAGCACCAATCAATGGGTCAAGGAACACCAGGCGATATGAATAGGCAAGGTTTCCCGGGGAACCGCAAACCCGATTGCTCCGACAAGAAAGATAAGAAATTTGAGCCGGCGCCGCCGCCGGCCAGGGTGGGTCGCAAGCAGCGAAAACAGAAAGGACCCGAAGCCGCGGCTGGGCTCCCGACCGTAATGCCGCTTACAAAGTGTAAGCTCCGGCTTTTAAAGTTGGAGCGGATCAAGGACTATTTGCTGATGGAAGAAGAATTTGTGGCTAACCAGGAAAGGCTGAAGCCGCTGGAAGAGAAAGCCGAGGAGGATCGATCTAAAGTCGATGAGTGTGGGTAATTTGGAGGAACTTATCGATGAGAACCACTCGATTGTTTCATCGTCGGTTGGGCCCGAGTATTATGTGGGGATTTGGTCGTTCGTTGATAAGGACCAGTTGGAGCCTGGATGTGCTATTCTAATGCACAACAAGGTAATTAAAGTCTCAAGATTTATTGGTTTTGTTTTAGTTTTACGGTTTCTTTTCTTTTTCTTTATTAGAGATTGTTGAAGAAAACTACTTAAGAATTCTTTTAGCTAGTAGAGTAATGAGTTCTTTAACGTGCATTTAGAGTCTGTGCTAGGGAAATTATGATATTTTGGTTATGCAGCTGTAAGATAATAGAAACTGCTGTTATTTGGATTTTAGAACAGTGGTTGCTAAATTATCATATATGTTACAGTTCTTGTGAAATTTGAATAAACAAGCTAGTGGGTTTTAATCATATGATTGCTTTAGCTTAGATTGACGAGCTTTAAAACTTTGAACCTTTTATCAAAGCTAAATTCATAAACGAGTTCAATCCATTCTCTAGATCTCAAACTAGAGGTTATCTCAAATAAAATTGAGCGATGATTGATATGAGATTAAAAATAAGCAAGACCATGATGGGTATTTGCTTATTGAGTTTGCTATCATAGTTGGTGATATTCATGTGTTTGGGAGTATTGTTCGAGTCTAAAGATCTTGAAAGGTTAAACCATATACCTCTTATCTCCTTTAATTGGATTGTAAGAATCTTTAAGGCATTATGTTCAATCTTTATTTTTGTTCTTGGAAGGATATTCATGCTTGTTTATTGTATGTCTTCAGGTTCTTTCTGTTGTTGGACGTCTGCAAGATGAAGTTGATCCCATGGTAGGTCGAAAAGGCTCCATTGGAATCTTATGCAGATATAGGAGGTTTGGATGCTCAAATACAGGAGATTAAAGAGGCAGTTGAGCTCCCTTTAACTCACCCTGAATTATATGAGGACATTGGTATCAAACCTCCGAAAGGAGTCATCTTTTTTGGAGAGCCTGGGACAGGCAAGACCTTGCTTGCAAAGGTGTGTATTCGTTTATCTCTTAGAACACATTTTTCTTTCCATGCAAATTGTTTGATTTGGGGACAAAACATGTCTGGACAACATGATAAGCTTCTAAAAATTGCAGTAGAGGGATATCATGGACTCATATGAACTTGAAATATGTGATTTTGTATTCTATTGCTAATATATATATTTTTATCTTGGCTATAGGTCCTTGTTTACTCTAATATCACATGGTTGTTTCGGTTTTTTTTCTGCTTTATAAAATATATCTGAGCTTGTTTTGTGACTTGCACTATTTCAGGCAGTGGCTAATTCTACATCAGCAACTTTCTTACGTGTTGTTGGAAGTGAAATAATTCAGAAATACTTGGGAGATGACCCTAAATTAGTTAGGGAACTCTTCAGGGTTGCTGACGATCTTTCCCCTTTAATTGTCTTCATTGATGAAATTGATGCAGTTGGTACTAAGAGGTAAGTTAGTGAAACAGTTGGGCCTTGACGCAAATAAATTTGGAATATTTCTCATGAATCTCCGTACAGGTATGATGCCCATTCTGGCGGTGAACGTGAAATTCAGAGGACCATGTTGGAGTTGCTGAACCAGTTAGATGGCTTCGATTCAAGAGGAGATGTCAAAGTGATTCTTGCAACAAATAGAATTGAAAGTCTTGATCCAGCTTTTCTTCTCCCTGGTCGAATTGATAGGAAGATCGAATTTCCCCTACCTGACATCAAAACAAGAAGGCGTATTTTCCAGGTATGCGATTGTCTTATGATGCATTGGAACAGTATATCAAATATGTTCCACTCTTTCTTTTCATTATACTAACCCACTTTTCAAACCTTTGGACCGCAGATACATACATCAAGGATGACATTGGCTGATGACGTGAACTTGGAAGAATTTGTTATGACAAAAGATGAGTTCTCTGTTGCTGATATAAAGGCCATATGTACCGAGGCTGGCTTGCTCGCTTTAAGGGAGAGACGCATGAAGGTGAGACTTGTATAAGTTCCTAATAATCAACGTTTGTGCTTCTTTTTTCTTATATCATATTCAAGCAAATTACTTAGGCATATTTCTAACATCTATGTTTGATTCTACAAGTTTACATCATGGATCCACAAGTAATAGAATCTAAACCAGATTGATAGCTTAACTGAAATTTCAACATGATTGTTATCAATTAGCATTGCCTATGTTTTAACAGATACTCTGAAATTTCAGCCACATAATTCTTCCTTTGCTTTTAATTTTTCTTAGGATACTGAGAAACCTGTTAACTTTACATTGTTAGCAAGAAAAAAGGTTTATCATCTGCAAGTGGAATGCTTCATTTTAAATTTTAGGAGGGTAGTTTCCTTGACAACCTATTTTGGCCTAATATTTTAGGCTAAAGCAATGCTTCATTACTGATGTTATGTGTCTATATCCTCCATCAATAATATATATATATATATATATAACGAGTAATTGTTTGATCCGAGTTTCTGATTTTGACTGGTCCGGCATAGTAGGTGACTCATGCGGACTTTAAGAAGGCCAAGGAGAAGGTGATGTTCAAAAAGAAAGAAGGCGTTCCAGAAGGACTATATATGTAGTCAATTTCAAGATATACATGTTATTGGCTAATTCTGGATTGTTTCTTTACCCGGATTTTCAATTTTTTGTCAAGTTTTAGGAAGCAACTGAAATGTTAATCCATTCAATGCATTTACAAAGACAGATGGGGTCATATCCTGTCTACGTTGATGGTCTCCTAGTGCTTAACAGATGATAAAAATGTCAGTTTTCCTGTCTGCTCAATCGTTTTTCCTATCATTAAAATATATATAAATTCATGAAGAGATGATGATTACTCACAACTGTTACATGTTTGTGTTTTGTTTACTTAACTATCCAATTCACATAATTTCAAGTGTTACAATAATAATCGTATTATGATGAAAGAAGGCAACACCTAAATGTATGTAAAATAAATATGCTTAATATAAAAATGAGTGTCCTAATTATATTTAAAATTAATTTTTTGATGTCTAAAGAATTTTTCGTTAAAAATATATATCTAATATTTTTTCTGTTATATTTTTAGGTATTTATCGTTAAAAAATTATTAAATGATATGTGTCATTTAACAATTATTTTAACTGTAAACACTTAAAAATATAATAAAAAAACGGTAGACATTTATTTTTAACGAAAAATCTTTTTTCCCAGTCAATGCTTCTTCGCTTTCTTAGTTTGTGAGTTTAATATCATGAGGAATAAAAAAAATCTCCCTAAATAAGAGTTGTTCCTAAGAAAGATGAACATAAATTGAAGATAATCTGGGAGTTCCCTTGGAAGTTCGCACCTCAATATCTCTGATATATCCGACTTTACTTGCATGTTCACATTGCACACATAACACTGAACTTCTCGGCTCCAGTCACTGTCAAACAATAATTTTCTTAATTTTGACGATATTTAGGTGGTGTTTGTTTTCACTGTGTAAGCTCTTCAAATCATTTATATCTGCGTCGCGCAGACTACACGCAGACATTAGACTTTGCAGACTGTTTTTTAATAGACAGAAGTTCTTCAAACTTCTGCGCGAGCTCTTCTTGATGCAGACATGATTTTATGTCTTTAAAGGTCTTCAAACCTCTTCAAGAAAAACTATAAAATATAGTTATTTATTAAAATAATTTTAAATAATTTAATAAGATTATTTATTATAAAATAATTTATTATAAAATAATTTATTTTAAAATAAATTATTATAAAATATATATTGATTTATTTTAAAATATAGATTGATTTATTTTAAATAATTTATTAGTATAGATTGATTTATTTTAAAATATGGATTGATTTATTTTAAATAATTTATTAGTATAGATTGATTTATTTTAAAATATAGATTAATTTATTTTAAATAATTTATTAGTATGAATTGATTTATTTTAAAATATGGATTGATTTATTATTCTAGTTGTATAGATTGATTTATTTTAAATAATTTATTAGTATGAATTGATTTATTTTAAAATATGGATTGATTTATTTTAAATAATTTATTAGTATGAATTGATTTATTTTAAATAATTTATTAGTATAGATTGATTTATTTTAAATAATTTATTTGTATAGATTGATTTATTTTAAAATATGAATTGATTTATTATTATAGTTGTATAGATTGATTTATTTTAAATAATTTATTAGTATAGATTAATTTATTTTAAAATATAAATTGATTTATTTTAAATAATTTATTATTGTAATTGTATGAATTATTTAAATTTCAATATTGTAAAACTAAAATTATTTAAATCTCAGTATAACAAAACTCTTTTAAGTTTAAAAAATCAGTTTATTTATATTTCAGTTCATTTTAGCAATTTACAGACGTTAAAAAACAAACAGTCTTCTTCTTTCAGACTACAGACTTTTGGTCCACATCTTCTGCTGCAGATGCCAACAGATATAGTCCGCAGACTACAGACTTTTTACCTCTGCAAAAAATAAACACCACCATAGTCTACACTCGAGAATAATGGGGACCCCACTACTCTTACATTATTTGCACCTTTATACGGTTCGGACAGTGACAGCCCTGATGTTGCAGATGAGAGACCTCTCTAAAAGTTGAAACCTAAAGTTGAGAGGAGCTGTAAGGAACTCAAGTACGATCTCGGGTTCGAATTTTATGAAAAGGTAATGTCGGGACAGCTTTGTCCCTCCTATAAGGGTTTGACCCGAATCAAGTTCGGATATGATCGAAACTCATGTGGTTACCGAAGATTCTTTTTGAGAGGTCTGCTTCATATTCTGTTTTAGTGCTTAGAAACTCAAGGTTATATACTTACTGGACCACAATTCCATAAATAAGGTCATCGATGGAGACAAACTTTCTTTCACCTTTTTTAGGCCTGACACCATTTTTCTCGTTTCTACAAGTTGGGTTCACTAGTCCTAACCACAAGGCTATATAGTTTGATCCTACCGTCGGCCTCCGCCGTGCCGAGATAAAAATTTTCCTTTTAACCCTGATTCTACTGTCTAAAAGCCTGGGGGACACAAAGCTAAAGGAGAGTGAAACTTGAGCATATGGAACTATTTCTATGGTGATGCAATAATTACATGTTAGATGGTGTTACAAGTTGCACCAAAATAAATAAGTGAAAAAAGGGGTTTCTCTCAAACAGGATGTTCTCTTATTCTACAAAACTGTAGAAAGGTTTAAGCAAGAACCTTTCGGGAATGATCCACGCTTGAATCGTCAACCTGAAATGAACATGAACCCATCTTTGACATTGTATGTTGCGGAGTAAAAGGAATAAACAAGCAACACCTTGACCAGAATTCAGAGCTATTGTGCTATATCACCTTCATGATATTACAAAAAGAAGTTGAATCAGAAATCATCCATAATTAGACGGTAACCAACAGTTTTTTAGTCAAATGCTAATAATTATGTTTCATTCCTCGCTGAAACTGGCATGGCAAATCCTTTTAACTTACTTTTAATGTGCAAGTGAAGTTCTATATAATTGGTAAAACCATGTTATTCAACGTGGGAGCAGAGAATACTTGGTTAAACAAGGTTCTTTTCATGTTAAATGCTTAGAGGTGGTAAAGTGGTAATGGCATGTATTGTTATTTCCTATATGTATGCCGTAACCCGTTGCAGATCCATAAATATTTTTGAGGGTAGGCACACACATATGTTAATAACATAAAATTTTTGTATGGGTGGGCACAATCAGTAAAATAAGTGATTATCTAAAGAAAATTCAGATTTCAGGGTGAACACTTGCCCACCCTCACGCCTTAGTGGATCCGTCACTGGTTGTAATATCATTTAATAATCGGAAACTAGAAAATAATGGACCAACCTGATGGGTGATTTTCAAGATTCTCATGTCCCTTACTGGTACCCGGTTTACTCGAGCCTGGCTGGGCCATTGCTTGAAACTGTAGAAGGAGAAATTTATAATCAATACTTTATGCCGGTGTGTAAATTGTATGTAGCAATGTGATTGTGCTGATGTCAGATCAATAGTCCAAGGAAAGATTCCTTGAGGAAAATAAACATGATAATGTTAGAAACTAGATTTAAGTTTCCAACCCTAGAAATAGTTGAGAAAAGCAGTGAATGAGGACTTATCAGTAATTTTCTTTTTTTTTCCTTCAAGAAATTATCATACATTCAATGATAAGCTTATACAAAAGGCAAGACAAGCCAACATTACCTGTGGAGGTTGTAATTGCATCTGATGAAGTCCAATATACTGCTGATAAGGATCAGCAAAATTAAGGATCCGTGGATGGTTTGGGTTTTGCATGCCAAGTGGGTTCAGCATGGCAACTGACTGATTGTTTGGTTGGAGTCTTGATGGATCGGGAGGAGGAACTTGTGGCGACATATGAAAGGCTGGCATAGGAAACCTTGGATCCAAATGAGCTGCAGGAGGTGGTGTTGGCAAACCTGAGCCAGCTAAAACGTTCGGATATGGCATCATTGGCCGATTTATTCCCATATCCATGACCATGCCCATCCCAATTCCCATTCCCATTGCCGGCATGTACTGTTGAACGCCAGGAAACATCATTGGGACCAAGCCACAACCCATGGACATCATCTGCAAAAAATTAAAATCTAAAACTGTCATAAATAATGCACAAGCTCATTCTTTGTGTAGCACAATCCCAACAAAATGTTCCAAGTCTTAAATTAACCATCTTGCTAGGGAAAAGAAAAGACAGAAAAAGCCTGAAAATTCAAAATTTATCTACTCATCTACATCAAGTAAAAAATGTCCCCAAAAGAGATCTTGACTTGTGAGCTTGGTGGTGTTCGGTGATTTTTTTTTTCAGTACAATGGCAAAAGTCCTGGTGATTAACAGTTCCACAAGCATTCATAATAAGGCAGGTAAGAGATTGTTGATTAAGGACTTGGTGCTATACTGCTATTAAGCCATGATCCTCATACGTGACAAAAATGTATTATATATTTAAAACAAACAAAACTTACTTCTATTATTGGCATTTTTCACAATAATATTGCTATAAAAAAAAGTAAGAACCCAATTATATCACCCCATGAAGTATAGTTGTAAGAAAAGAAATCTTGGCTAGCTATATAATCTCACAGGTCCCTCCTTAGCTATAAGCAAAGACGTACCTGAACTTGCAACTGAAGTGACTTCAGGTACTCGATTGCTTCATCCAGCATTGAAGCTTTGTCTGACTGAGACTCGTATAAATGAATGAAACACGTCAATAACGGTAGACTGAGAAATACCCAAATTGGGAAAAACAAGTCCTTAATGTTAAGTGCAAATTTAAGGGAAATCATACACATGACAAACCTTGTTGCAACGAGGAATAAGTTCTTGCAAAGCTCTCATCTTTTCATTTATCCTATCTCTGCGTCTCTGCACATGAACGAGATAACACATCCAAAGGAATGCAATTACATAGAAGAAGAAGATCATGTACTATGATGCCAATTGAATACTGACCCTCTCCGAGAGGTTATGGACCTCTGCAGCACGAGTCCTTTTAGTAGAAGTGGATCCACGTGATTGTTTCTTTCCGTCAGCGGAGTCAAACTCAGCATCCTTTGGCAACAATAAAAAGTATCAGTAAAAAATTAAAAAGCATGGAACGAAATTTAATTGAAAGAAAGGGGATGAATGAAGTCATTGATTTCCTGTTTTAACACATTAGAAAATACAGTGCTATCCTAAATCTCACCGTAAATGGGGTTTTGTCTATTTTCCACAAAGAGCTGCCTGGTTTAAGCATCCACGTGAGCTTACAAAAAGGGTATTCTAAAACTTGTGTACTTGACTACCTTATATGGTTGGCTACAAAAAGAGTCGAGACTAAAGTCTACATTCTTCATATAGCTTTAGTTTTCAACTTTCTGTAATTAAGCTAAACAGGAAACAATAAGAACCCTCCCACATTTCTGAAAGAAGAAAGAATATAGATGCTTCCATAATTAAATTTGGTTTCCCAACATATAAATATAGAAAATAGGACATAAGCACCTGCTGTGCGTTCTTAATACCAAAGAAAGATTCAGAGTGGACTACCAACTCTTATCTTCAGAATATTAAAATTCATCGCAAGAGTTATAGGAATATACTCATTGATATTTGGTGTTCTTACATACTACTAAATAAGCTCTCTAAGCTTGATGAGTGAACATATTCCTAGAGATATTTGTAAGGGTAACACAACTTTTTATATGGGTGGGTAGAAATAAAATATCATGACGAACACAATCAACCAAATAAATAACTGATCAAAGAAAATTCAAATTTTAGGGTGGAGAGCAGATCCGCCATTGAACATGATTCCTTTATATAATAATCTCTTAACTTTGCCATTGAATCAGTTGCCCTCAAGACTCAAAGATGTTGACAGCACTGGAAGAATATAGGTACCATTGGAAAGAACTCATCAAAAGTAATACATTAAATAAAAAACACTTTTTAAAAAAATAGTAATTAAATGATAAATTTTGTTAAAAAGTATCTATCAATAGATTTTTATAATTAATATTCTGCTCATAATACTAACTGGGAAGGGTTGATAATTTTATTCTATCTGGTTGGATAGTAACTTTGGATGGTAACCTTAAATAATATTGTTTAATGACACTTGCAAACAAAACTATTAAATAATAGTTAACATGTTTTTAATACTTTGTAATCAATGATTAACCGGATTTTTCTAAAAAAGTTTCATACAACCTAGTATCTAGGGTTGCAAAAAGGCTGCTTATTTTTTTCAGAATTCCCACGCACTCAACGTAAAAAAACATTAGAGAAACTAACATTAAGCTAAACGAGAACTGCTAAACAGTAAAGTTTTAAGCAATTAAATCAAAATTTATTCAAAAGCCAACCGATCCTCCCTCTTTCAATAATAAAATTCGTGTCAATTTCCGCAATTATTCTAACACGTGGCGTTTTTTAAATGGATGTTTCTGACACGTATACGATCCAGAAATTGTACCATGGTGACGAAGTGAGGGGTGCTCACGTCACGTTAAACGATGTTAAGTGTTAACCACCCATCCAGGCGCACGTTAGCCGAGGCAAATTAGAGAGAGAGAGATATATTAGTAATTTCAATGAACTAACCTCGCTGTGACATTTGGCGTCGTCCGGTTCTCTTCCTTTACGTTTCCGGTCATCAGCTTGGACAGGCTTCTGAGCCGTCGGTTCGGCACTGGCACTGGAGGCGTCAGGTGATGATGTCACCATGACTTCGCACGTGGCTAAATTGTCTTTGCTGGCACCAAAACTGACACCAGCTGATTGCATATTGGCAGCTGCAGCGCTGCTCATGTGGGCGCAGGTATTGTTGTTGTCCCCACCTGTTGCTGCCTCGGTGCAGCTCGGTATAGCTTGAGAGGCTCCCGATTCGGGAGCCAACGCCGGTGTATCACAGGAATCAACGACCGTCAAGTCCCTCGCTACACTCTTCGAATTTGACGGTCCAGATTGCTCCGCCCTCGCCGTTCTATGCCTGGAGAAATGAACGAAGTTCTGGATCCTCGTCCCCGGCGGTGTTGGTGGCCTACGAGCTGGCACCATAGCCGTAGCTGAAGCCGAAACCAAAACTTGAGGAACTCTTCCGAGTGGTGGTGGAGGAGGAGCGGTGGAGGTAGCACGAGGGGCGACGGCGGTGGATGTGGAAGGATAGAGTAGATCGGCACAGAAATCGTGGTTGAAGTTAGCGTCGTCAGTGAGAGGATAGTGAAGCAATGAAGTCATTTCATCTTCTTGCATGAAGAGATTATCAGTAAAGGATTGCTGCAGTTGCTGATGATGAGATGACGATGATCGGATATCTCTGGAAACTGGTTGGTCGGCGTCGTGGAATTTGATCGGCGCTGGCTTCTTCCAAGATCTTTGATTCTGACTTTGCACAACAACTTGACCATTTTGCCACAATAGCTCCATGATTTCATCCTCTGGCCTGTTCCATAACTTCATCAGTTCTTAAATCTTACAAAAAGCAATTTTCATTCTAAGAATTATAATTTTTTTTTAAAAAACCCAGCAAATTAGCAGCTTACATGGAAGGTTTCTTAGAGCGATTTAATCTAGAAAGTGAAGGGATTGCATAATCGTCCTCCATTTCGAAATCTGGAACGCAGTGATTCATCCTCTACCCTTAACATAAAACAAAAAAATCAAATAAAGCACAAAGAATCAAAGAAATTTCTAGGAATGTCAAAAAGAAAAACCACCTAATTGTACTATTCAAGCTGTTAAAATCACACAACTGTTTCTTCTTCTTCTTTGAAAAATCTAAAGGAAATACATAAAAACAGTGTTATCTTTGTTGATATTGGAGCTGGGCCTCTCTGTGCTACTGCTGATGAAATGGACTACCAACAACCATTAACGACAAAGGAGAATATCATTGGAAATCTAAATCCATGTGAAGGAAAACAATATCTCTACTACCTCTCTTCTCAACGTTAAGAAAGGAGAAAAATGTTTTTATTTCTCTCTTCTTTTTTGAAGAATTTGTATTTGTTGTCCTTTTCGGCTAAATGTTGTTTGCAGCCACCCAAAGATGAGCCTTCCACTTTCTCTCCGAATAATATGAAGCAAAGGACAGTTGATTTTTCGACATCATTTTTAAGAATCGTACCGGTTAACGAATCAATAGTGCTATCAGTTCACTGGTTCAATCGATCGAATCGGTTTGATCGATCGGAAGAATCGGACGACGTTATAATTATTTAAAATATTAAATAAAAATACTAAAAATATTTAATAAAAAATAATTTTTTATATCACAAGTCATATTCAAAGCAAGTCATAACATATATAAATTAAAAACCATAAAATTAAGTAAAACAAAATGATTCAAATTAACTACAATATAATATTTAAGGTAAACCATATTAAATAATAAATATAATTATATAACTATAATTAAAAAATAAATTTAAGGCTAAAAAATCATAACAAAATGATATTTGTTTGGTTTAATTTTTTTAAAACACATGGCTAAGAAACATAGAAGAGCATCACAACTAACTTCTATAAATAATAGAGGTAATTTGACATTCAAAATCATTGAGCCTTTTGATGAGCATTGAGTGAACTATTCTTTCACTTCAATTAAGCTCGAATTTTAGGCTTCAATCGAGCTTCTAATTTTTTTTTGAGTTCAAGCCTTTTTGAGTTCAAGTTTCAATATTATACTTCGAGTTTGAGTTGAACTTGATAATTTTTAGCTCATGAGTTTGAGTTGAGTTGAGCTTACTTTTAAAGTTTTCAAGTTCGAGTCGAGCTCAGCAATACTCGAGTTCGACTTGGCTTGTTTAACAAACGACGTCTTTTGATTTAATTTTTTTTTAAAAAAAAAATAAAATTTCCGGTTTTTTCTAGTTTTCAGACGGTCCGGTTCGAACGGTTCAACGGTTTTGACCGGTTCACCAGTAGCGGTTCAACCGGTGTAGATTGAACCGGACTAGGCAACAGTTCCCGGTTGAACTGACCGGTCTGAATTTCAAAACAATGTTCGACATATGCAAAAAGAATAATAGTAAATAAATATTTAAAAAAAAATAAAAACCAACACTTACTAAATATTAAATCATTCGGTTTCTATAATGAAGTAAATAGAATCCCAATAAAAAAATTATTATTATTTTTTTCAGAGTTTAGGTTTGAATACTATAAATGTAATAGGTGTAATTATTCAATGTAAGATTAAGAGTTATCTTTGAATAGATAATGTTTTATATTTATTCTAGATTATTAAAAAAAGTAAACTAAGCCATTAGTCATTCATGTTTGGGGTAGTGCTCATTTTCATCATTGATGTTTAAAAAGTCACAAATCGATCACTAACGTTATCGTTGGTTACAAAATAGTCATTTGACATTAACAACCCTTAATAGGCGTGACAAAAATCACATTTCTACTGTTATATGCTAACATGGATCGTTGACCGCTACAGCTGAACGATTTTGACCGATTGTTCTTTTTTTTCAACCCAACCCCATCTTTTTCCTCAACCCAACCCGTCTTCTTCTTTCTTTCTCTTCACAATGGGTTTTGGAGGCTAATTGCCATCCTTGTTCAATATTCAATTTCATGGATCCTGCTGTGTATGAAACACCTTCAGGATTTCCTTATGGATTCCATACGTTTCATGCTGGACAAGATTGAATAAGAAACAACTGTAGCTTTGAATGAATCTAACAAGACTGATATCTAACGACAACTTATGAATCCAAATGGTGTTTCAGAGAAGATGTAAGCCATCAAGTGCCAATGAAAATATGGTATTTGCAAATACATTGCAGACCTAGAAAGGTACCAACATCAGGACAGTTTTCCACTCCGTTACCGGACAAGATTTTCATGGTCTCTAGTAGAATAGGATATGTCGAATCCCTGATTCACCGAGGGCAATGGTACAACCAAACAAGCAATCATCACAATGTCTCCATGTCTCGGGGGGAAGGAAAACTTAAACTAGTTTTTTTTTTTTTTTGAAAAAGAGGGATTGACACTGATTTGAGTTGTTCTTGAAGCAAAAAACGTAATCTACAGTGCTCTTGGTATATTTACATACACTAAATAACCATCATTGGCCAAAGACTTGAAACTATTTTCACCAATAAAGCAGAGCAAGCACGACAAAGAAACCAATCAACAAAAGAAGATTCTTCAATACATTATATGCCTGATGCCCTCTGGTCGTCGGTGGGGGGAACCCATGAGCATGAGGATGTCCAACATGAAACGTATGGAATCCATAAGGAAATCCTGAAGATGTTCCATACACAATAGGATCTGGTTATCTATGAAACTGAATATTGAACGAGGATGGCAATAAGCCTCCAAAACCCGTCGTGAAGAGAAAGAAAGAAGAAGAAGAAGATGAGGCTGGGTTGAGGAAGAAGAAGAGCCGGTCAAAATGGTTCAGATGTGGCAGTCAACGATTCATGTTAGTATATAACGGTCCGACTGTGCTTTCTGTCATGCCTGTTAATATCGAGTAACAATTTTATAACAAACGATAACGTTAGTGATCGGTTTATGATTTTTTAAACATCAGTGGTGAGACAAACACTACCCCTAACATGAGTGACCATTGTTATAGGGTACCCTTAAAAAAATCATTCAGTTTCTAAAAGGAAAAAAAGGTACGTATTACTCCTAACCAAAAGTACCAACTTTATGAAAGATGGTAATGTCAATATTAATGATAGTTTAACATTATTGTTGGATATTGTTGCACTATTAAAGTACAAATGAAAATGATTTGTAAAAGTGTTAGTAAAGATGTTTGGGTATGTTTGGTTTATCAAATTATATAATATTTTATTTTTATTTTAATGGATTGAAAACACATTTGACTGGAAAGTTGTTTTTAAGTTTAATAATTGATGTATATAAAAATGTAGAAAGATATTTAAATTCAGATGAATATTTAATATAACCATTGATTAAAGTTTAAAACTTTTAATTTTTAAAAAATCAATAAATGATAAATTTAATAAGACTGGGATAATATTAATTAAATTTTAATTATCAATTGATGATTCATCGATTGAGTCATTTGGATGAATTAAGTAATTCGAATTGATACATCAAAGATTCATGAAAACGACTATCTTAATCTAAAATTTTCAATTCACAGCCCCATAATTTGAATATATTACGTTGTTTAAAAGACCATCTAACATCAAACAACAATCATTTGAATTAACAACCCATACTTTTACGCCATAATTTTAAAATGTACTTTTTCGAGTAGTACTTTTTAATTTAACGTGATAAAGAACAAAGCCTAAGAGTCGGTCAACAAATATCCAATAAAATAAATAAATAAATAAAAATTATTAAAATAAAATGTATGATAGATAGAAAAGATTAAAAGTGAGTAACCTAAAATCTCTTCGATTTAACCGAATTAACCGACCGAACCGAATTAGTTCGGTCGGGGATCGGTCAATATTTTTGTCTATATTCGGTTAACGGTTAATTCGGTTCGAAATTGGTTAATTAACCGAATTAACCGAAATTATTAAATATTATATATATTAAATACATATTTTAAGCTCAAACACATTAAGAATTAAGAATCAATTATTTTGAATCACACTAGACTCGTTAAATTATTAATACTTAATTAAATGTTAACCCAAATTAAAAAAAATACTTCTATTATATTCAAATTAATTTAATTATAAATTTATAAAAAAACGGTTAATTCTGCTAACAGACCGAAATAACCGAATTTTATTCGGTTCGGTTAATATTTTTTAAAAAAAATTTGGTTCGATAACAATTAAAGAAAAAAAGTTTGATTAATTTGATTAATGGTAATTTGATTCGGTCGATGGCCATTTTAACCTTTTAAACACCCCTACTTTAGCGTTGTCTATTTTAAGAATGATATTTACAATTTAAGATAATCTCGTTTAATAATGTCATCTTTAAGATTTATTTTATGTTTAATATTCAAAATTTGAGATCATCCTTTTTAATAATATAATTTTCGAGATTCATTTTACTATAGATATTCAAAGTTTGAGACCACTGCTTCTAATAATATCATCTTTTATGTTTAACATGAGCATAAGAATGTTCCATCTAACTTGATTTTTGAGATATAAATATGTATTTGATCCAATATAAATATATAAATACAATTTTTATTTTTTAAGTAAAATAAGCATCTAATTAGAATAACGTATAAAGATATATTATTATAATTACCCTTAAATATATACAAAATAATTATACTATTATCTCGATTGAAATTAGGTGTAAAAAAATTCCACTTTAAATTCGACTATGACTCGACCTGACCTTATTCTTAAAAAAACTCAACTTGATCTACCTCGAACATGATTTTCTTTTAAAAAATAAATTTATCATATTGAATCGAATCAGAACCTATCGAATCTAAGTCTCGTATTCATCTCAAATTATGAGCAATGGCTTTTTAGTACTTTGGTAATATATTATATGTTCAATTATATATATCTTGTAAAGAAAGAGTACATTGGTCCAATGATATGAATATTGAATGGGTGTAGTTGAAAAATGAGGGCAGTTGGGATGCATTAGTGAATAGATAAAGATGTCTTCCTCATATGCATTGTCCCTTTACTTTCAGGCACATCATGATCACATGACCTTCAATAAATTATTATTATTATTATTATTATTATATTATTATTATTATTATTATTATTATCTTCTTTACATACATACGTATATATAAGTCTTCTTAATAAAATGCATATAAAACAATCAAATTATTTTTAATACAATTTTATAATTTCCTATACAACTACTATTTGTTTAATTTAATCCTTATATGTCGTATTCTATTTATATCGTTGGTTTGTATCAAATTTTAAATAAATCACAAAAAATTAAGGATTATTTAACATTTTTTTAAAATATAACCCTAAACATAGGTTAAAAATATAATATTTTTATTAATATGGTAAAAATATTAGAATGGTTTGAAATTTTGTGCGCATTTAAGTATATATATTAAAATGACTAGTAAACAAAAGTGACTGTAAATATAATAACATATGAATTTATATATATATATATATATATAACTTTTATATTTACTTAAAAAATCTTAGAAGGAAAAACCCACAAATAAAAGAGGAACAAAAATCATTATTATCCCTGTAAAAAACAAAAATCATTATAGTCAATAATAAATTACAAGAGAGCTATGCAATCAAATCATGAAATCTTAGTTATATGTATAGTATTGAGAAGTAACGAGAGAAATTCTAGTTTATTGATCGATTAATCTGAATCAGGTACTGCAAAGGTAAGAGTGACTAATCTGACCTTACTTGAGAGATCTAGTTTCTCATCCCACTAGTTGTTAGTAGAGTAAATGGATATAAATTCTCATATGTCTTCTAATTTATTTTTCACCAAACGAATCGAATCATAAAATTTTAAATTATATCATAACAAAATTTATGCCACAAATTCTAACCATATGAAAAATTATTAGAAATAGAAAAAAATCATCATTTTAAATATTACAAAAGAAAATATTCAATAATTTGGTGAATATTACATTTATATTTTGGACATTAAGAAAATGTATCTAAGACTATAGGATCTTTTAAAATATAGATGTGTAAGTACATCGACAACAATGATTGGTGCATTTAACAATTATATATTTGGGACTCAAGTCAACGACTATCTTCTTTGTGCGTTGATTTTAAGTTATATAAATCATTTATTTGTATATTTTCTTTATTTTAAAATTATACATAAAACGTTCTATATTTATATAAATTTTGACAAGTTATAATTTCTATCATATGTAATTTTAAATATTCATGTACGTGTATTATATATTTAGTATACTTTTTCATATCATATTACGCTTTAATGATTTTTCTCATCTATATTATCATATTGCTATAAATTTATGCCTCCAATTTTCTTGTATCATACAATTTAAGTTATCTTTTTAATATCAATTTAAGATTTTAATTTAAATATTTTTATATGTATAAAATATATAAATACTCTTACGGTATATTAGTTTTCAATTTTAAATTTTTTATATGTATAAAATATATAAATACTCTTATGGTATATTAGTTTTGTGTCTTAAAATAACAAAAACATTAAGTGAAAATTAATAATGGAAAATAAGCTTGAATATAAAATAAGTACTGAAACTATGTCGCTTTTCATGAAGAGATGCCTAAGCTATTTTTTGAATGGTCTAGGTGCCTAAAGTTGCAAATGTTAGTATTTTAGGTGTCCGAGACGTAACGGCCGTTAAAAAATTCCATCAAGTGACACGTGTCACGCTCTGATACCATTGTTAGTCGTCTTTGCTCATGTCGTTGTGGTTATCGTTTGAGTCGTCGAGTGCTTCAATTTCGCGATTTTTGGTTTTGGGCATAAAATGTCAATTAGGGTGGTTGGGACGTCATGTTGTTGGGTCATCAGTGGCAGTTCTGTCTGCTGGAGGTTCGTAGATGGCAAAGGTGGCGAACGAAGGTCACTGGTGTGGGTACATAGATTATAATAAAGTTTTTCAAAGTTTGGATTTTTTAAAGATTTTCAAAAGATTTGGTTTTTCTAAAAATAAAATTATATTTTTAAGTTTCTAATTTTAAATAAAAAATCAAAATACAAGAGCTCGACATGTGTCCTTTAACGACAAAAATAACGGTTGTTATTAACCGGACACCTAAAATGGTAACGTTTGTAACATTAGGTACATGAATCATTCAAAAATACTTTAGGCACATATTTATGAAAAGTAGTATAGTTTGAACACTTATTTTATATTTAAGCCTAGAAGATAATGCCACCATTAGCATGGGCAACTATGCAATATTGCAAAGCAAACTAAACTTCGTGATTCTTAAATGTTTTGAGTCCAATTCTTACATGGGTCACCTTGGCCCTATGTATCTTTCATTCATGGACACAATGTTCAATTGTAAGCCGATATACTTTTTGAATTTTATTTTGATTAAAATAATATAAAATAATATAATAATTAAAAATGTTTAAATATGATCAAATTCGGAAAAAAATTAACAACTTAAGCTTATATATATTTTTTTGAAATGGAAATTTCCATTAAATTCTAATGGCATCAAGAAACATATCCGATTTAATACAGTCCAATTCATTCAGATAAAACCATACAAAGTTGACACTAGACAATGCCCATTGCGCAAGTAAATGTGCGACTCTATTTGCCGAGTGGATTCTTAAGTTCGAGTGATTGGCAAAAACTTCCTTGGTTTCTTGGAGAGTCGGACCAATCACAGAAATGTCTTCACGGTGATTATTAAGCCGATTGATAATTGAAATAGCATCCTCTTCGATGATCACCCGATCTCACCCTCGCTCACACGCAAAGTGAATGCCTAAAGAGAAGGCCAATGCCTCGGCCGATTCTGAATTTTGAGGAGAGTGGAGCTTCCGCGCTAAACCACCCACGACCATCCCGTGGTGGTTTCGAGCCACAATCCCGATTGTCGCTTCCCCGGAATGAGCACGAAAAGCACCATCAACGTTAATTTTAATGGCTCCAACAGGGGGTTTGTTCCATTTTCCACTAGGCGAGGCATGCAGAACGTAAGCGTTAGAAGTGGGGGATGAAGACACAGACCTGAAAACAAACCCAATTTCCCAAGCCGAGTTGATGACAATTCGCCTTTTAAGAAGGGTATTATTGTGCATCAACTTATTCCTTCTATTCCAAACCAAAACGATAAAGAGAGTGACTCTCTTGATCAAGAGAGGAAACAACTTCTTCCAACCAATCCTTGCAAGAGAGAGCAACGTCAATGATAATAGAATTCCTTAATCCAGGAAGCGTGAGAATTTTCCTTGTCAAAGTGCAATCTTTAAGCGCATGTAAGGTGGTCTCTACATCTTGCTTGCACATGGGACGTAGGTCATCTCCCACGTCAGCGTTTAGGAGTTTCTCACCTGTAGGAAGGGCGTCGTGGCAAGTTCTCCATCCCAAAATCTTACTTTTGGGAAGATCTTAAGTCTAATAAATGAGTTAGCTTCATAATTTAATTTTATAGATTTTCAATTACCATTTAAGCAATGACTGAAATTTTATTGTCACACCCTAAGTTAGGGGTTAAAATTCTCATGACTTTTGAAATAGCTTCCTAATTAAAAATGTTGGGTTCATAAGAAATATGGAGAATATTTAAGGACTTTATATGTAAATTTCCATTTCTTGGTTACTATGAAATTGAGAGATTTCTAGAATAAGTGAGATTGATATGATGAGTAAATTTGGAGTATGATTGACAAATATTACTATTATTTTATTAAAAATAATGATGCCACACAATAGATATTTTATTATGGGTAGTTGGGTTTTAAAACCAATAATAGGGATGACGATAGGGAAATGGAAACACAAGTTCCATACTTATCCATGGAAGACTCCAAAGTCAAGGCACGTTTGGTTGTGCTTGCTGGTCACTTGGTAGCTCTTGATTGCTCCTCCACCAACCTAAATATTTGCTGCGTATCGGCTCAGGCCGCCTCTTGCTCTGTCGACGGCTCTTTAACCGTCGTCGACGAGCGAACTGGAAAGAAGTACAAGGTTCATGTCTCCTCAGAAGGCACCATCAAAGCTACCAATTTTAAAAGATAATGACAGGGAAAGATGACAATGGATAATAAGCTTCGTCTTTGGACTTGCTTTGCCAACATAGAGCAAACGAACAGTGAGTTGATTAAAAATAGTGGAAAGATTATTTTGATTACAAGTCATGATCACTCAAACAAAAGATTCTGTCTTCCTCATTTCCATATATATGGAAAGCTTAGGATCATTGTAATGGTACTTCACCACAAGCTTCTCTTTACCTAATCCTGCTAAACGTTCAATACGCTGCTCCGACAACCTCACCTGGATATGAGCGCTACCTCGACCCTCCTGTATTTTATCAACAATCTGGTCTGCTGCCATGCCTTTCCGAGCCTTTCATTCAACTCTTCAGCTACTGGCTTTCATCAGGTTCGTGTTTGCCAATCCTCGCGCCCCATTTTTCAAATGAATCAGTTGAGCTTCACCATCAACTTTCCAGTGTATGGAGGAATCAATGATGTGGAGTCACCATGTGTTTATTCTCAGTTAAGTGCTGCTGTTGCAACTTAAATTCTGAAGTTGTTGGAGCAGTGATCAAACTTTTATCGCTCGAGGAACTTTAGCAATGGCCAACGAGAATGCTTGTAATGGTGATACCGATTTGCATGGGTCAGCTCATCGAAAGTCAAGAAGACCAAAGAAATATCTTGGCTGAGTGGAGAAAATAAATATTTAGAAAACAGCAAAGAAGTTAAGAAAATCAACTCTATTCCGTTATACAAGCTGTTTCATTTATGGTTGAGAGATATTATGTGAATCATGGGCACCATAAGTGCAATCGGGAATGGTTATGTATGCCCTTGTGACAATCTGTTCGGTGATCTGCGACGCATATGGAGAAAAAAAAATTCGTTCACCAGTCGCACCCAAATGACGATGATGAAATGGTCATGCACTTCTTTCCAGTTTGATAAAGCTGGAAAAGGAGGCATTTCTATTCGAGATTACGAAGAGTAGCTATCGCACATGATTTTATGTGGACGGATAAGGAGTTGGTTGACATGATTATTGCTTTGATAGCAAGAGTGATGAGAGAAGATCTACAGGGGGGGAAGGTGGGTTGGCAGCGAGAAACAACATAGCTCGTCTTGACTTCATTGGACGATCATCGGTGCTCGGATCGGTGACGAAAAGGGCAAGCCGAGTCTGATGGTGTACAGTGGATTTTGATGTTGAATCGAAATGCATTGTTTTTTTTGGGATACAATGGTGGTTGGACTGTTCGTGCAAGGACAAAACTATAAATGGAATGAGCTTTGATCAGCTTTGGTCTGGTTCATTACCACACAACGGAATTAATAATTAAGAGTGGTGCATGCAAGGGGACCCACGTGGGTTATGGTAATGCCCCCACACTAATTTACTTGCAAAATGGGGTTATGATTTCTTAAAAGGAAAATCATGTGGGTGGTGATTTGTCTTTGGTTCATTACCACATACAACCGGAATTAATAATTAAGAGTGGTGCATGCAAGGGACACTCCACGTGGGTTATGTGGTAATGCCCCACACACTAATTACTTGCAAAATGGGGTTATGATTTCTTAAAAGGAAAATCATGTGGGTGGTGATTTAAAAAGAAAATATAGTGGAAAATCGCATCATGAGTGTTTGGTAAGAACTTGGCCTTGTCTCATAGTTTCTTTTAGTTTTAGTTTATGGCTCAATAATGCAAATTAATTCAGTTCAGTCCCTAATTTTAGTGATGGTCTGGATCGAGAGGAAAATATTGGAAGTGGAATCAAAGATCCAGTGCGTTCGAATGGAATTTAAATGGTCGACCAGTATGGCACGAAAAATTGAGGTAATACTTTACTACCTCTTTATGCTTTATGGAACATGTTGATATTGGTAAATGCATGAATAAGATAGAATTAAATTACAATTTTATGAATAGTGATAAAGAAATCAGACAAAGGATTTGTTAAATTATATTTATATCATCAAAGGATTAAATGTTAAAGGTACTTGGATGGGAAATTATGAGAATACTTCGGTATGGTAAAAATAGGAAATTACCCTTATATTGGAAAATGATAAGAATTGTCCCTGGAAGTGGACTAATAAATCTGAAAAGACATATTGATACGATAAATATATTGATGTGCATAAGAAATGATAGTTATACTTAGAAATTATAGATAACCGGTTTTTAACCCCAAGAGGGTTTATACAAGATACTAGAAGTGTGTTAAGGGAATTATTTCAAGATCAGAGAGTGTTCAAGAAAGCAATTAATCATAGGATCTCTAAATTATATTATTTTCGTTAAGAGCTAATATCGAACTTATCTGGTTAAGAAATTACGGAAATGCCCTTAAGAGGTAGAATAGTCTGAGATGACTCTGAATGAGAAAATACTTAGAGGATTCGTACTTAACTCAATTAAGTACGGATTTAATTGTTAAGATCCCGACTTAGTGCAGGAAAATTTATGATATTCCGTTTGTAAAGTCTGAGAAGACACTTGACCTGAAAATATTCAAATAATGAGTAAATACTTGAAGAGTAATTTATCGGGGGTATTCTGCTATCAGAATTGTTCGAACGGACTGGAATAGATAATAAATTGGAATTAAATAATAAGACCGGATTGAGGAAAAAGGTTGAAATACCGTGAATCTGTAAAATGACCAAAATACCCCTGTAATAGAAATGACCCAAGAATATCACCAAGCTCAGGAATGATTGAATATCCTCGAGCTCTGAAATGAATGGAATAAAACTGAACATCAAAATTATCAAAATACCCTTATGGCCTAAATTAAGTAAATGTCTTGGATTAATTAAGGAATCCAAGTAAGATAAGTATTGGACTACCTTTAAAGGTAATGGAAAACAATTCAAGTGAATAGATCAACCCTAAAGCTATGTCAATACCTGAATGACATAAATATTACTGGAACATGTGTTCATCTTCTCAAGTTTGGCTCGATGATAAATTTTGGAAGTATTCAACTCAGCTCTAGATTGTATTCAGTACTAAGAATTGAACGTTTTTTCGACAATCAACCACGAAGACCAAATTGAATGGAATGGAAGTACAACATGTATCTGAAATTCAGGAACGTTTGAATTACTCTGGAAAATCCTGAAGTAACTGGAATAGAGATGACTGCTAAATGAAATAGGTAACTTCAATGACTGAGGATTTAGTAAGTGACTTGGATAAGTCTGGAAACTCTGATGAGTTTACGTAGTGTACAATTACAATGAGTTTGAACAAATTAATCAAGTACGTCAGCATTTCATGATATTGTAGAAGTGTGGAAATGAAATAAAGACATTGGAAGATCTATTCAACGATGATTCCGAAAATGGTCTATGGATAAGAATTGTGGTATTAAAGAGTAATACCCTGGAAGAACATGAATTGACCAATCGACAGGCATTAGTTCTGGAAACTATTCATCTAAGAGTTGTCCGATAATTCGATCAATCGATAGATAATATAAATGTCCTGAACCTTCATTTCTTCCTTATCAGCTCAAGTCACTTTCTGAATAACTGATGATTCTGTCAGTTATTGAACTCTTTCAATAGTGATTCTGAATTCCGATATTCTATCGGTATACTAAAGATCCGTGTTCCCCTACTTGTTAAGATTATCCAATATCTTTGAATACTATCTGTAAATTCTGGTGTGTTCCCTACTCACATGAATATTTTACCTGATTTTCGATTTGATTTCTGATCTGATACTTGACATGGATTCTGATCTGATATCTGACATGGATTCTGATCTGATACTTGACTTGGATTCTGATCTGTTACTTGACCTGATTTCTGATATGATACTTAACCTGATTTATGTTTTGATTTTTGATATATCCGTTTACGGACGGACATATCTTACTTGGGGGGGGGGTAATGTTGGAGGAAGTATACCTGGAGGCTCCTCGGCTGTGTGCTCAGGGCCTTATTTACCGGTTCCTCGGCTGTGTGCTCAGGGCCAACTGGACTTGATGGTGGGTGTATAGTTCTGGGGAACCTACACAACTTGGACTTGTTGGATGGGGGTATATATATATATATGTTTTTAAAAAAAAAAGATCTGAAAAGTTACATGATTTTTGGGAACACACTAAAAAAACCTATTCTGATCTCCTGAACCTAGACATCCGAAATATTTCCATCTGAAATGAATACTATTTGTTACTACATGCGATATCAATGGACCTCAGCTCAACATAAAGATCTGTAAATATCTGAACCAATAAGGAAAATATGTTTATCTGTATCTGCACGTTTTTCAGCATCATCTGGTAGTT